TGATATGATATTAGTTTAAAGTGCACTTGATGACTCAACCAAAGCCACCGTTGAGCAAATTCGTACCTATACTTCCCTACCCATGCTTCAGATTCAGAATATTTATCATAACTTTTGATGGAATGAACTGATTTTAATGAAATAAAGACTAAATGTAACCCAAAGATACAATTTATAATTTCCTTAACAGTCCTTATGATATAAATTAGTACTTTATACGTTAACAAACAAACAGACAGACAGACAGAAAATTCTAAAAATGGTAGAAATGTATTTAATTACTTATTTTTAGTACCCATCAATCACTTTTATTACAAAAATATAAAATGTACAGACATCTGCTATTTACATTTTATTATATTATGTATAGATTAGGTAGTCAACTAATAAACCTGCCATTTTTTTTCGATCGGTGTTTAGAATTTTACAGAAGAATCTGGAATTTCTTTGAGTACTAAATCGATAAAGTCATTGAGAACTTCGACTGCTCCACGAACTTTGTTTAGTTCAAAAAGCAGCTGAAGTAGTGCACGTGTTTTCATATCATACAACTAAGTACTAACTTTGTTTATTATATTAACCAATATTATTAACCAATTATAAACTTATGAATTTGAGAAATAATTTGGTTTTGGTAGAGAGGCTGGTTTTCTAATTGTCGATTAATATTTAGCTATAAATCAAATAAAAAATATAAAAACTATTGATAAATCCAATTGTACAAGTATAAGTGCATTAAAAAATTACGTATAACATGATTATACATAATTTTTTTAGTTAAAATACACACAAGTTTTCACTTACTTAATAACCTTTTTATTATACTTCCAATTTTTCTATAATATTATGTCAAACTTCAATTTAAAAAAAAAAGTGGAAAATCCAAAAGTGCATGACTCATAATGCTCATATGATCATCATTCAGGTCACTTCATAAAGTCCAAGACCTATATACATCCTACTTACTTTTAGTACGTAGTACTATTATTTATTCTGTGCTTTTAAAATATTGTAATAAAAATCTCTGATTATTATAATAATTAAGTATGTATGAAATTTGTTATTTCGAATATTTTGTATTTGTACAGCGATCTTTTTGAGCCGCTGCGAATAACCGATACAGTCCACTCACGACGGCGTTTGACGCCGAAGTAAGTTAGGCAGTCTATTTAGTAAAATAAGTTATTACAAGGCTGCTAAAACACCGAAAACTTGCGGATTTCTACGCCGAAAAAAAAATTATTGTTACTAAACAAAAGAAAATTAAACTGCCATTTACATTCTATGGCTTCCCACTTGATAGATGAAGAGATTAAAAAATAGATTGAGTTAAACAATTGATATTTTTAAAAGTTATCGTGTTTACCACTCCATGCGGACTTGATAAATCTACAACAAAGCCGCTAAAACCACTTTTTTATGTAAAAATATTGGTATTTTCGATTAAATCGATTTAAAAAAATATATATTAATAATTTCAACAATCATTTATCTTTCTGACAATGTGCTTTTTATATAATTTATATGTTCAATATGATTGTTAGATACGATTTTATGCGACAAAACGTTGGAATCTTGATTTTTAGGCGCTAGTAGAATTTACCTACGCGCTTTGCGCTTAAGGCATGCGATATATTGCATGCATAACGCCTTACGTATTATATATTCTATCACTTTTTCTGTTTAACCAAACCGTAGGCTTCGGCCAAACCTCCAGCTATTTTTGGTCGAAGGCGAACGTGCGGCTGAAAGGACTTTTTTGACAGAAGGTGTTCGAAGCCGCAGCTTCGGTTGGGGCACTAAAATTCATAGTTCATGGATTAAAATCTTAGCCTGTGTTAGTTTTCTGTACGCCAATGCAATATTGGGCTTTTTAAGGCAATTGATACTATTCTCAGCTGAAGTGAACTCCATCTTGATTTTTTGGCATCAAAGCATTACTTACCATCAAACACATTGTAGTTGTGGCACATTGTAGTCCCCGTGCATGAAGCAAATACAAAGAGGAGGTGTTGTAATTAGATTTCACTATGTAAAAACAATTTGCGGGGTGAGAGGATGTTAAGCCCCGCCCACTTTACACTATCTATATCTACCGATAAATAGTAAAATACTCGAATCGTTCCATACCGATGTTGCAATGTAGTTTAGCTCCCTTGACGATATATGGCGGCCTGTTCACAAAATTGTTATAAACTATAAAAATAATATTTGGCGATTAAAATTTCTTTATGTCTAAATGCAAAACAATATAAAAAAATATTTTGGAGATTAATAATTCGTTATGACTGAATGCAAAACAAATTTCAGCACCTTCGTATGATTATTTTACCAATACTGAGCTCTAAGTACATTTATATTTTTAGTTCACATGACAAAGTGTCGCCATCTAGTGTCGAATATATTTAATTATATTTGAAAGCCGAGGCAAAGAGATTTTTCTAGAACTATTTTAATAAATTAGATTTAAAATTACTTACAAATGAAATTTGATGCCATCCTTAGCATCAGAGTGTCTATCTGAGTAGTTTTTACACGATAAAACACAACACTTCATCCTTTTCTTCTTAATACTATGAAAATACACCGATTTGCGATTTTCAACACATAAGCGCACAGGACGAACGCTGACAGTGTACTAACTAAAACCACGCCCACTATGATGACGTCAGGACCTACTTAGAATCACAGTGCACAGTTGCTTATGCCGTCTTCTCTTTGTATTTGCTTCATGTCCCCGTGTAGTGGCGGGTAAGAATACCCATTACCCCATATCTTCCCGTGGGTGTCGTAAAAGGCGACAGAGGGAAACTGAGACAGAAGATGGGCAGCAGTATCTTTCTGATAACAGCAAAACCAATAAAAAACTGCGGTCGCCAACCCGCTCGCCAAGCGTGGCAACTATGGCAATATACCTACCCCCCATGAGCAGTGACTAGTAAACGACCCTCAGTCCCCGGCGGCCCCGCTATTCCTGGATACGGTGGCGACCATGGTAACGGCGGGGCAGGGGGTGCTAAGAATCTCCGGTGGAGGTTCGGTTGCCACTTACGACGACTTGACCTGGCAACGCACGCACCTTGAGGACTGACGAGAAGATCCTGGAGCTGGAAGAAGAGATAGACAAGTTGCGCTGGAATATTATAGGATTTTCCGAAGTCCGAAGAGAGGGCGAGGACACGGTAATCCCTGAGTCCGGCAACTTGTTCTATCACGGGGAGGGCGACCATCTGTCCCAAGGAGGTGTCGGATTTATCGTCCACAAGTCTCTCGTTAACAACGTCGTAAAGATTGGGAGTGTGTCGACGAGGGTTGCGTACCTTATACTCAGAATTACTAAACGGTTTTCGCTGAAGGTCATACAGGTTTACGCACCAACCTAGGCACACCCCGATGAGGAGGTGGAGGAAATGTATGAGGATATCTCTAGAGCCATGCATTCCTCCAAAACCCACTATACGGTGTTAATGGGAGACTAACGCAAAACTAGGCACAAGAGAGAACGGTGAGCTGAAAGTAGGGAAATTTGGATTAGGGCAACGGAACCCAAGGGGCCAGCAGCTGGCCGACCTCATGGAGAAAGAGGGACTCTTTATGATGAACTCTCACCCAGAAGCGGCCCCACAGGAAGTGGAACTGGTCGAGCCCCGACCGTTCGACAATAAATGAGATAGATTTCATTATGACGACCAGATGACAACTGTTCAGTGATCGCGAGGGTGAAAACTGGTAGCGATCACCGAATGGTTAGAGGCACACTGAACCTAAACGTTAAGTTGGAGAGGTTGCGTCTAATGAAGTCAACGCTCCGTCCCGCTCGTGATCCGTTCCAAAGTCCTGAAACCTTTCAGCTCGAGTTACAAAACCGTATTCAGTGCCTAGAAAACTGCAATGAAGTGGACGATATGAATGACAAGCTCGTGGAAACTGTCCATGCGGTCGGAGCGGAGTAACGATCCAAGAGCGCGTCTTATCCGACACTATTCCGAAGATATCCCGGACGTCAGTTTGAGCGAGATTAGAATGACTCTATAACACCTTAAAAACGGCAAGTCCCCGGGCGGGGATGGTATTACAGCGGAGCTTCTGAAAGCGGGTGGAAAACCGGTACTTGAAGTCTTTCAGAAGCTGTTTAATTCCATCCTTCATGGAGGTACTACTCTGGAGGCGTGGAGCAGAACTGCGGTGGAAGAAAGGCGACAACGCTCTCTTGAAAAACTACAGACCAATTTCCCTTCTGAGCCGCGTCTACGTGCTGTTTTCGAGAGTCATTACGAATCGTCTCGCATGCAGACTCGACGTGGAAGTCGTCGAGCCTCTCAAACAAGCCGGTTTCCGAAAAGGCTTTAGCACCATAGACCACTTACATACCTTTCAGCAAATTCTACAGAAGACCGAAGAGTACAATCTGCCTTTTTGTCTTGCGTATTTGAACTATGAGAAAGCCTTTGATTCCGTCAAAACTTTGGCGGTGCTGCAGTCCCTCCAGCGATGCCAAGCGGGCTGTCGCTATATCGAAGTGCTGAAGTGGTGTTTGTACAGTAGGGCTACGATGGCTATCCGAGTACAGAACCAGAGTACGAAACCTATCCTACTGCAGAGAGGTGTAAGACAGAGTGACGTAATATCCCCGAAACGACGATATAGTCCTTATGGCAGAATCGCTGGAGGACCTAAGCACTATGCTCAATGACCTCAATAGTGTCTCCCAACGGATAGGTCTTAAGATGAGTCTTTTACGTGGTAGAGCCATGCTGCAGCTATATTAATAGTATAGTTGTGGGAAAGACCACGCTCTTACAGAATACTAGAGCTATGGAGCAGTGTTAAGCTGCTATTTTACGCTAGGATTCTGTGAGAGCGTGGTTCTTCCCCGGTCGAGCCGACCCATTCGTGCTACAACTATACTACTAATATAGTTGCAGCGCATGGCTCCACCACGTAAATAAATTTATCCCCTTAAGCCAAGAATCATCATAATAATGACATATATTTTTCAGGCCTGATGATTTCTTTGCTGAAATGGCAAAATCCGATGAACATATGCAGAAAGTCCGTAAGAACTTGATGGCCAAGCAGGCGGCACAGGCGCGTACCGAGAAAGTGCGACAACTCAGAGAACAAAAGAAAATCGCCAAACGCGTGCAGGTAATAATTTGTTACATTGTTGAGATTATTACTTTATATTGGGTTAGACCGCCTGGCTTAGAGATCCAAATAACTGGTGGCAAAATTTTAATAAAAAAAATTTGGTTGGTTTGGTCTTTATTAAATATTTGGTAATCGATACACTTACATGAGCCCATAAACTACTGAATCCATTACTGATATTAGCTTGTTTCATATTTTTATTTATTTATTTAGAGATTTTATATTATTTGCCCTAGACGGTTGAATTGACCATTGCAGTATTGGACGTCTCACACTTTTATAGCTTTACTTGGTAGATGGTACTATCAGAATCAGAAACAGAATAGTTTGTCAAACATAGGTAGATTTAAACTAAGATCTTGCGAGGGGTTTTCCGCCATCTGTCGAAATAAATCGCCTCTCACGACACTCCAGGATAAGATGCAGTGATGGTCACAATTACAACATGGTAATAAAATAATACAACTTTTTCTTAATTTTAGATTGATACAAAACTAAAACAAGCTGCTGAGAAGAAACACATGCTAGAGCAGTTAAAACGGGTGAGGAAAGGCAAATCAACAGATTTAGACTTCCTAGAAGATAACAAGGGTAAAAATAGCAAAGGAAATAACAGTAAGGATCCCAAAAATAAAATCTCCAGAAAACGGGCAAATAAAGACAAAAAGTTTGGTTTTGGTGGCAAAAAGAAAGGCTCCAAACTGAACACACGAGAGTCAACAAATCAATTGGAAGGTTTCAATAGTTCAGCTAAAAAGAAACCATTCAACTTTAAAAGCAAATCATTTAAGCCTAATAGTAAGAAGAAGAACCAGAGACCAGGAAAGTCGAAGAGGAAGAATTCAAAAAGATAATTACTAAAATTTTTCTAATAAAGATATTCAAAATATTGTTTTAATTTTTAATTCCTATATTTCGGTGGCTAAAGGGACTTTCATTTGGGCTGGCATTGGTGGGACTTACTTAAGGAAAACTTTTTTTACCAAATGTTAAAGATGAAGGAAAAAAGGTTGGGCTGGGTCGGGGCACACGGTCGTTAGTTTTAACGTAAAACTTCTTACGCTTTCGGCCAATCGCTTTTAGTGTTTTAGATTGAAATGAAAACAAGATTGCCTTTGTTTTAAATACTTTGATACAATACTGCAACACCAAGGGAATTACAGATGCCTTGCCGGCCTTTTAAATTGGAGTAAGCATTTCTTGAAGGTCTCTAAATCCTATCGGTTCGGAAAAATTGCCGATGGTAAACGATTCCACAAAGTATTCGTGCGAGGAAGAAAACTAGTAAATCGCACAGCAGTGGACCGTTAAGCATCCAGATGTGGACGGTAACGTAAGTTTTGTCGAGATGTGCGTTGGTGAAATTTGGTATATAATTCCTCAGATCACTCCCCGTGGTAAATGCGATAGTAAATGCAATGGTCTGCATCATCTCTTCGCAGCGCCAGTGAATCGAGCCAATCAGATTCTTTTTTTCTTAATAACAGGCTTTACGGCTCTGGGTTCTAGTCCTTCTGAGCCTGAACTTACAATGTATAATTATCCTTCATAGTACACTGCTTCACAATATGTTGATGCGTCACATTGTGCAGCCCTTAGGAGATTTTGGCGGCAACTTGAGCCAGCAGACAGCTGACAGTTGGCGATGGTATCTCAAGGCGCCCATGCAGACAGACAGCTTATCTTGAGAATCACATCACCATCAGAGCACTTGTTTCACCGTTTCCACTAATAGTTCACATGCGCAGACGTTTAATACACAAAATAGCACCACTTTTATATATCAAAATCCACTTCAAACCACTATTTAAACAATAATACAGGAGCAATCAATCCGTCGCCGGTCAAGTTCGCGCCAAAACTCGAGTCAATCAGAGAGAACTCTGGTCCAAAGTGTATAGTAACTGTCCTATACAGGAAAAGAGAGCGCATTCGTTCGAAATCTGTCAGTCGAGGAGTACTAGCGCCGTCTGGCGCTGTTTCGGCACCAAATAGTGAGAATGTGTGCGTATAACACATGCACCTCTACATATACACCACCGTTTATGGTGATTCATTAAGGTGGCTACTCACTTGCCTGCCGCAGGAGCAATCTAGAATGAACATCGATTGGGGCAATATTAGAACTGTCCCTACAGACATGTCTGCCGTTCAGTATGAGATGTCTCGCTGGATACACGCGTTGAGAATGGCGCCAGCTTTATAGTAATGTCAATGAATCTGTAAATATAGCCTTGGGTCTTTTGCGTATAGAATAAGGGTGACAAATGAGCACAGGCCAGCTCATGATAGTGCATACTGTGGCCCATAGACACCCATATTTATTGATAAAACAACTAATCAATTAATAATTACAACCATAGCATAGTCCTTAAAAGCTGCAGTATGACTCTACCACGGTTAAAAACGTTATTTCTACGGTGCTACCGCAAATAAGACAAAAAGGAGATACTGGGCGAAGAAGCCACTATTTATACACTTCTATCACCAGTGTCCAAATTTCACATTTTTTATTGGTATCCATAGTGATGTGTGCTGCGCGCGAAAGTCGCTAACGAACCGATTGAAATTGCCCAAATTCTGCTACACATGTGGCAGCAGTAGCTATAATCTAGGGAGCAAGGAAGATCTTGCGCCCCTGCTGCCCTACCGCAGGGCCGACTTAGAAAATTGCCTCTGCTTATACAGACATCACAATAAGGACGCCATTAAGGGTCATCCCCACTTCTACACCCTAGATTGGCCCTGCGGCAGGCAAGTGAGTAGCCGCCTTTACGCTTTATGTACTAGGATTAATTATTTATCAACAACAAACAGTGAATTAAATAAACATTTTTTAAATATAACTGCATGGTAACTAAATGCTTGCAACAGTCGGTTGTGGAATTAACTAGGCCTGTCTCACTCCGCGCTTTAAGCATGACAAAACATGCCTACGCTACGCAGCCCCGCATGCGGGGCTAATTCCGTGAGCATAGTTTAATGATAAATCATCGGTCATCGCGCGCTCCCTGCAAGTAACAGCTCCGTGAGTGCGGCATCTTAATATTGTAGTGTGTATAAGACAATTTGCATGATGCTAGTGTGCGTGAAAAATTGTATATGCCAGCAGCTTAACTATTACCCCATTAATGGGAAAATTTATTTTATGCTATGGCTTAGTAGTTAAGTTCATAGTTATGAATGTATTCCAGAAATACTTAAAAATCAATAGTTTATTAATAACGAATGTATCAATATATTTGTGTATAATATGTATAGGTTTTTCTTCTGAATAAATGACATATCAATGATAAGGCCTTCTTTTTATCAGTTTAATTTTTTTATTTACATGTCTAAGTAATATTCACAAATTATTTAAAAAAATAGTTTATATATATATATATATATATATATATATATATGGTGTAATCAAAATAGGGCTTTCTATTCTACGCGTCAATATGAACAACTTTTACTATAGAATACAACTTATACTTCCTAATCGCAAGACAAATCAGGTCTTCCATACATTTTGAGCAAGTTTGTACGAAATTTTGTATGGAATAACTGACTTTGAGATATTTTTTATAGGATCAGGGTGACAAACGAGCAATCAGTCCACCTGATTGTAAGTGGTTGCTGTGGCCCATAGACATATACATCTATCCTCGGTTAAGAATCAAAATGCAGACGCGTTACAACCCCTGAAGACTAAGATGGAATGCCTCGTTTCCAGTGAAAAGGGTCTCCGGTTCTCTACACTCACCATAGGAAACAGCAGCGTTAAGCTCCTATTTTACACTGGTATTCTGTGAGAGGTCATGAACTGCGTAGAATAGAGGAGCGCGCGGTAAATTTGAAATAGTTTAAGAGTTATTTTATTAGTTGATATTATTGATTACAAGTTTGATAGGGCAAGCCCGGCTTCTCGGCTTCTATGGAGGCTTCGCTACCGAGTGCTAGCTCCTTCCACTTGACCGCATCCAGCGCAGAGTGGTTCGAATCTTAGACGACCGAGTTCTTTCCGATGCGCTTGACTCACTGACACTGCGTAGAGATGTTGCATCTCTTTGCGTGTTTTATCGTATGTATCACGGGAGTGCTCTGAGGAATTGTTCGGATTAATTCCAGTCGTACAATTTCACCATCGCAAATCGTGACAAAACTCGCGATACCATCCATACCATCTGGATGACTGGCGGTCCACCACTGTGCGATTAAAAGAAGTTTTCTTCCTCGTACAATTTCCTTGTGGAATCGACTACACCAGAGATTTTTCCAGGCCGATACGGCTTAGGGACCTTCAAGAACGCATCTGCAATTCCCCTGGTGTTGCAGTTGTTCAGTGGCGGTGGTAATCACTTACCATCAAGTGAGCCGCATGCTCGTTTGTCCCCTCCTATAATAAAAAAAGATTACCTTTGGGTATCCTTAAAACTGTAAAGAATGAAAAGTCGACTTTTGACCTTTTGACTTTTTGAGATGCCATACTTGAATAAAAACTCAAAAATAAATGTCAAATGCCTAAATACTTATTAGAGAAAAATAATTTTTATGTCAACATAAGGCGCGCGTCAGCTCGAGCGGGCGCGTGACAACCTCACGGACATAGATTAATGATAAGTCATCGCGCGCTCTGACTAGATACCGCCGGCGCTCATGTAAAATGCGCAACAAATACTAAGCCGAAATCGGCGTACCCAGTCGCGTTGCAGGCAACGTGTGAGGTGAACGTACCGAATGTTTTATTAAAATTTGATTATAATCCGAAGTAAAATACCAGTTTACGTATTGAAGCTGTGTAAAAATAATACTGCAAGAAATAAGAAAGACACTGGAATCACATACTATCATTAAGTATCATACAATTTCGAAATTTTAACATAAAATAACGAGCCATAAATAAGTCACAAAATATCAATGACGCTATTTAGTTTTATTTGATATAATCAATACCAGAGATTTTAAGGAACATGGCTTTAGTCATCCCATTTATAATGGAAAAAAATTATAAACTTAAATATTAAAACCCCCAGAAAGCGTTCTTTTAAAGAACACAAGCCACAAAAGAAAATAATGACTAAAACTTTTAAACCAGTTTTAAGTACTCAGCAAATACTGGATTTTTAGGAATGTTAGTGTATATTGAAAGTCTCAAACAGATAACTAATCTTGTGATCTGGCGTTATCATGATGAAAGACTATTCCTTTTCTGATTATCAATGCCAGACGTTTCTTTTTCTATTTCTTGCTTGTCTCATTATTTATTGGTAGTAGAGATCCGAATCGATGGTTTTACCCGGCGGTAAAAGCTCATGATAAACTTTAATACCACCATACACACAACATCATTTTATTTCGTGTTAATCCAGGTTTCGCTTTAGTCTGTAAACAAAACACATATCACATACAGAAAAAAATCACGTTTCTTGTATGGTCTTTATACAAGAAACGTTTTTTTGGGTTCTTTAATATTTTACTTGTTTTCGTTTTTATTTTATGTTGTTATAGCAGCAATATAAATACACATTCTATGAAAATTCCAAGTATCTAAATATTACGGTTCATAAGATACAGCCTACTGACAGACAGACGGAACGATAGTGGAGACTTGGGTGCCGTTGATACTCTTTGGGTACGGAACCCTAATAAATTACAATTATGTCATTTGAGCAATACTACAGAAATAAACATTAAATGATATAATATAGTAACAATAAATTCACATATAAAAATCTCAGCCACGGGGAACTTTATTTTTGCATTCGCGGCAACACTGAATAGCGTTATTGATATTTTGTGACTTATTTATGGCTCGTGTTATTTTATGTTAAAATTTCGAAATTGTATGATACTTAATGATAGTATGTGA